TTGAGTCTGAATGCTGTCTGTCAATTCCATATTTCATGCAGATGATACGGCATGTTACTACATAAATAAGGAAAGTTGACGATAAAAAAGCTGAAGTCATGTCGATTTTCTTACAACTTAGTTTTAACGTCTATAGTCACTTAAATATGCAAATATGAAACAGATGTGGCAGACTCTTTTGTGTCTTTCAAGTTCCTTGGGATATAGCAAATCAACATATGAATGTAAGTAACTATCGTTAATTGATAATACATCGTCGATATATCTTAAAGTCGAAGGCCACATCAAGTGTTTTGGAGAACACTGATGAATAAGTTGATGATACAAGGGTATCAACAATGTTACAAAGAAATGTTACCAGCATGCTCATTATCTTCTTCCATTTTCATGTAAATTTTGTGTATCTAATCATGAAATATGTAGAATTAAAAAGGCTTGGTCGTCAGACATCACCTATGACACACACACACACACAAACTGCCACCAAAACAAAATTGAATTTTAAGATCTTTAAAATCTTAAATAATTAACGTTTTTAAAGAAATAATGTGTCAGGTGCCGGTGATTTGTGTCGATACAGTAGAAAACAAAAGTCACATTATCTGCGTGAAATCGGTCATCTTACATTGCATATAAATAATTAAATATCCCTTCCTACATTACAAGTGTAAATACGTATAAAACTGATATACATGAACATTCGCAATACGCTTTTTGTAAATGAATAAAATGCACACAGATCAAACAAGCTATTAAGTTAATGATGGTTTCTCTTTTTAGGAAACATCAGTTATAAGTCCACATCCAAGTCAAACATACCTTCTTCTTTGATTATTGCACTGTTAAATTGATATCTTTAGAATGATTGGTGTCCTCAGTATGTTGCAGAGAAAGACAAAAAATAGTCCAGGAGCATATTCTCATCATCAGGTAGATAGAGTTAAACGATTAATCGAAGTACTCATACAAATATAAATCAATTTCATAATTTAATAAACTACTGTTGCAGATTTCAGTTTGTTTTGACACTACAGTGTAATATAAAACAATTTTGAAAGAGATTAAAAATTAAAAAATGAAAATTAAAATCTATCTTTGTAAACAGATTATCAAATTTAAAGCTGTGACACTTTTATTCCATGGTCCAAATTGTACAAAATCCGAATTAATTTAACATTTCCTAAAGTACGCAAAGATTGACAGACAGGAATCGGTATAAATTGGTGATAAAACATTACTCATCCAAAAGTTTGTTTTACATATTATGTTTTCAACAGTTTCAACAGGTTATTTTTTAAATGTATAAGCATTAATTTTCATTTGTGAAGAAAAATCTTCTCTTTCTTCTTTCTGCATTGCTTTAGTGTTTGAGTCTTTTTACCAAAGCAATTAATTTCTGCACTCGTTTCCTCAGCGTAGATTCAATTTAGGCGCCACAGTGTTAGCTTCCGTTTGAAGCCTCGGCTGATAGACAGGGTCCCGTCTAAAAATGTCAAGGCATTGTAAATAATGAGACCACACTCCTAGCACTAGCTAGTGTGTTAACCCTCTGTCAAGACAATTAATATCAGAGTTGGTTCAAATCCGACACTGGCAGTTAATATGACCAATAATCTAGAGGGTTTCCACAATATGGTTGAACCTATAGCCCTCAGGTAAAAAATCAAATACTCCCAAAGATTGTAAACCCGCCATGTTGGGCCATAAATAATACCTAGCTACTTCAAGTTCCGTTACAACTGGAAGGGGTGAGATCCTTGACAACTTTCCGTCAGATGTTTTTGTAAACTGCCAGTGTTTCCTTTTTTTAAAGCCAAATGATTTTTTAGTTCGAAAAAGATGAAATCACAATAACAGCGATTGCTAATTACATTAATTGTATACAATATCAGAAAACAAACATCGCTATGATACAACAGAGACAACATGTACGAAAGCTAAAAGTTGAATGAGTTTTCAATAGTTTTGGTCAAGTATGGAGTTGTATTTTGATAAACCCGATTATATGTAGCTAATGATGAGACATTTCACTTGATGAAAGAGTATTTGTGATTAATTATTTTTTCTCCAATTAAAACACAAATAGTAGCTTTGTAAGTATTAATTTTTTCAAGAATACACATATGACTACCTCTACATCACACGTCAATGAATAACATGGACATTAACTCTACCATGTTTTGTGATTATATTCTATTCGACCAGTCTACTGCTGTAAAAATTCAATATATTCAAAGAACGGAAATTATTCTGATGAGGTCAGGGACCCACACAAACAGCAGTGCACTCAGTATGGCTATACCTGTCTTTATTTTATAGATACATATATATCTTGCAATATCAGGGCCTAGGAGGGATAATGAATGCAACTGTTCTTATTCTCGGATGTTATTTCTTAAACAAACGATTTATTAACAAGGGAATACTATGAATATATGTTTCTATCATAATCCGAAGCTGTATGTTTTTAACCTTGCTATTATCATGGTAGATAAGGGTGAACGTTGAAAATTGGATAATGGGGTTTACCACGTGCTTTTACTGGTTGCCTATCGAAGATACAATAAGTAATGTGCAATCATTATTTTCCACTTGTCCTTAGCGCCGATACGTTGGATTGTGATTTAACAAACATAATTTTGTGGTGCTGTTGCTGTTCTACGATTATTCCTCTACATTGCAAAATTCTTCTCTTACTTGACAGTCTTGGTGAGTTTTGATTTTCAGAGCTGTTACCCTGGTCTCATTTCGAGAAAAAAATGTAGGCCGAGCTGATGTATCAACTTACATTTTTAAAGAAAAATGTGGTCATAGGAACTATATTTCGTGTCGATATTTGGGGAGCAGATGAACAATAATGGATCATTTTTGAAGTCTCTTTTCTTCTGTAAAATTTTATTTCACGCTTGGAGAAAGCTTTGGGTAACTATCAGATTTTTCAGGCTTTACTTGTTTAGCCTTTACTAGTGGTACCTCACATTTTAACGGACACGTAATTTAAATATAAAATTTCATTTTGTTTTTTTATTTCTTAAATTAAGATTAAAATTGCAAAATTTCTAGGATGATGGTTGACTTTTTTCGTTCCTTGTTAGATGAATTCCTATTTATTTTTCATTTCAAGTTAGGATAGCTTTTTGATACAAAGTAGTTTCTGTTAATTTCTTATTAGGTTGCATTTTATTTTCGTAGACACTTTTTCCGGATGATTCATTTCTTTTAGTGTACTTCAGTCTAAATACTACGCTTTCAATTTAGCACTCTTTACAACAGCAGTATTTTCTTCCGATTTTGAAAAACATTTTCAACAGTTCTTAATTCATAGAAAGGTCATTTGAATTTTATCCACAAATTAAGTTTAAATTCTAGATGACGTACATTAAATTTAAAACAGACAATTACTTTCCTTACAGAATGGTATAAAACACTCAAATATGATGAATCATTCTTCAACATTAAGGTCGCAAATTCAAATATTTACATGAGACATTCCAATATCCACAAAGGTAATGTGAAGTTAATGATGAATAAGGGGGTAATTTGATGGACGGGTGAAAGATTAAATCACGTCATTCATTCCAAGTGCATAAGCATCAACAATTATTGGCATTGGAGAAAACGTTTTAAGAAAGGAACTTTCAAACAATTATGCAAAGAAAATACAATACAAATATATACCTCAATGAAATTACCTACTGCGAAAAGAATTAATAATGGCAAAATTGTTTAATTTTAGCTGTGGATTGTTTATTTAAATAACTTAATCGACAAACTTTGAGTAATTATATTGTGAAAATATACGATAAGGGTGTAAGTTTTGTTTCATATTTAAATGTTTTACTGACTATAGACGATAAGGACCCAGTAAGTACTAAATTGTATGACAAACGAGATGACTTAGGCGTATCCATCGTCAACTTTCTCTATTAATATTCTAATTTTCTGCAATCAACTGCATATGCTGTTGACGTCTCTCAACTTATTCGACACTCAAGAAAATGCTCTAAGTACGATCGATTTTTAAACCGAGGCAGGCTACCGACATATAAGTTGATGTAACAGGGTTTTCAACAACCTCTTTTGAAGTCAGAATTTCCTAAATTCTATGGTTGTTAAAATGATCTTGTTCATAAATATATCTTTCATTTGATCGTATAATGGCTGACGTGTTTCTCACCAATTGTTTGGCCTTTTTTATACTAAATTTGACTACGGAATGCTCCGTATCCCTAAAAAAATTAGAGCTCACGATCACTGTTCGTTATCGAAACCTTTTTTTTCATTTTACTAACCATAAAATGATTTAAAAATTTAAATATGATATAAAAAAAATAATAAAAAAATCAAAAATGATTTAAATCTGTTTTATTAAAAAATAATGGTAAACTTTTTTCTTTCAACATTTAAATATTGCATTATCTCCTAAGACATATGCATTTTATCATTTTATAAGATTAAACTAGTTAACTTCCAATCAAAGAATAGTAATGCAAATGTGAACATTATTCTGAAAATATCTATAGAGCCTTCAAAGACATCATAACCGCATTAAGAGGATGTTAATTGTAAAATGTAATTAGGAAATACAATGGCAGTTATAACAATGTTACTCTTACATAAGAGAAGTATCTCACAACAAAATAAATAAACCAGAGTCTCAAAAACTTCACATTGCAATTTGTAAACCCTGCATTAGCAGTTTGATTTGAGAATATAATTCATCTCTCTCAACAGTTGCAATCTTTTAAAGATGGACGGAGTAATACAGTAATTGTTCATTGTCCAATTTAATAATTTGATGAATTACCTGAAAAGTAAAAAAAAAACTTAAATACATATATGTATATATGTTTTATAAAAATAAATTTAAACATGGAAATCATGCTTATGCTGATTATAGTAATTCTTATGTTTGCAATAGGAAAAATTTAAAATGATTTTGATGCTCATCTCTCTCACAATGACAAATGTCTTTTCTTTTTCAGATGGTTTACCTTACTATGGTTTTGGCTGAGTGCTGTATCCTCAGTGTCGTATTAATGAGTGGTCCATCATCGGCAACCTTACAACTGCTGGCGTCCTCGGCACGTGGTTCGTTTGTCCTGTCATTTTCTAGTTCTAACATTATCAAGTATTCATTTAGATTCATATCAAAATAAAAGGTGTTGAGTGAATCATGATGACCAGAAAATCGATTTACTATTTCGTTGAGACGATTAACACCCATTTACGATGAGAACCTATTCACAATGATTCAAAATCACATAGGGAAATTGATTGATAATTTATTGCATTTCATATCTTTAAGAAAGAGTCTTTATGAATGACTTATTTGCCATGAAATCTGACAATTATCTAACAATTTACTATGTATAGAACATTTTAAAAATCTGGAAATTTTCATGAAACATGTACTTGAAAAATAAAAAAAATGGTACTTTACTTCTTTCTTTTACTTTACTTCTATTATTATATATTGCTTACTCCTCTATAGCACCTGATCTCACCTCTGATGTTTCTAGAGGTCCGTTTTTGCTCTGCTCCCAATTTGTATTGTTCCAATTTATTTCGAGCTGGTTAATTTTTCGTTATCTTCACATTTCTTTGTAATAAATAAAGGTTTTTCGTAGTTGAACTTGATTAACTGCTTTTGTTTCAATTACTATAGCGCCAGCATTGAAAATATTTGTTTATTTTTCATTTGTATTAAACCGCATATACTTTTGAAAAACATGGCTCTAGATTTCTGTCTTTATTTAAATGATATGTCATCTTTGTTAAAAAAGAAAAAAAAATCATTCACCTTCCTTTACATCAAACTGCAATAGTATCAAATTTATTAACATCAGGGTCTTGGTTGAACTTCATAATAGAAGTTTAGTTATATTTAAGAAATAATCAAACTACCTTCTTAATTTGTTAAAATATCCAATCTACACTGAACACAGATCACTGAAATGAAATGAAAATAGCATGATACTGGAACTACTTAAAAACTCTTGTAACATCTAATATCAGAGTTTAACATAGCATACCTTCAATTCTTATGAAGTCTGTGTTTGTAGTTGATTGTGATTTTGAAAAGGACATGTGTGGGTGGACCACTGGAAGAAACTTTTCGTCCCCTACGGGCAGTAATCAGTTTTGGGCTCTGTGTCCACGTCTTCCCACCTCCAACGACCTTGAAGACACATGCGCTGGAAACGTAGGGTTCAAGTTCGCAGATCCATTTTCTCGTCATAATTTATGTGATAGTAAACAGACAGATAATTCTAAAGGTATATATAGAATACAGGATAATGTTCTCGATGAATAGAAGCAAACTCATTTTTTTTAAATTTTCAAATTCATTTAAACTTTGAAAGACTTTCCTATTAAACATGAGTTCAAGACTTAAATCTTTTTTATAATAATCAGAAATATTTCAATATATAAATTTGTCTTGTGATCCCGTGTCTTTAAGGTTTTCCATGCCACGATGGTTTCGTTCTCAGCTCCAGTAACAAAGGTGTTGAGCCTCCTTTTAATACTCAGTACAGCACCTTCTATACATCCAACATTCTGAGCGAGGAACTGCCAGGATTTTTTCTCTACAGATGCCTCCATTATTCGTATTCCATGAAAGGTCAGAGTGTTCTTATTGTGTCCTATCTGCCCACAATAACAGAAGCTAAGACTGACGCCATTTTGAAGGAGCACAGAGGCCATTGGTTGACTGGTCGTTCAGAAGAGTGGATCAGTGGTAACAGTTTTGTGGATCTTCCTCTCATTCCAAATTTTAGGGTAAGATTCATGATATGTCGATAAACTTTTCAAACTGGTTATTCTTTTATTATTCTGTTGATATAACTAAAAATCCCGATTTCCTTCATATTCGCAAACGTATATATATATGTATGTATGTATGCTGTTTTACGTCCCATTCGAGAATTTTTCACTCATATAGAGACGTAACCATATACCGGTGAAGGGCTTCAAATTTTGACCTTTACTCGGCACTCAGGGCCATTGAGCATTTAGGGATCTTTATCGTGCCAACGTCTGCCGTGACACGGGGCCTCGGTTTTTAAGGTCTCATCCGAAGGACCCGCAACTTTCACTTCAAAGTGCCGAGAGCATGGTGAAGGAACAGTTGCTACCCATTTTTTTTTTATCGACTTAGGTCAGTCGCGGCCGAGATTCGAACTCACGACCTCCCGATCACGGAGCGAGTACTCTACCGACTGAGCTACCGTGAACGATATATTCGCAAACGTACAAAGAAAAACGCAATTGAAACTTGCAAACTTTAACAGTATATAAAAAAGGGCGTTACATTCCGCACCCTTAAATTAAAAACAATTATTTCAAAGTTGTGATATTTTATGTATACGAAGTCCATCATACTACTGTTAAGGTTTTGATTGTGCTTTTGGAATAAAAAAAGAGGAAGATAGAAACCAAAACAGATCATATATCTTCTGTATAGGAAAAGCAGAGACCCAATGATAATATTTGTTAACAAGGTCATTATCACTACCACAGAATCTACGAAATGCTGACTTGTTGACATTTTTTTAACATCACCCTATCTGTCAGAAGCCTGCCTCGATTTAAAAATTGATCATACTGAGAACATGATCTTGAGTATTGTAAAAGTTGAGAGACGTAAAAACCATATGCAGGTGATTGCGGAAACATACATAAGAAAAGTTGACGATGGAAAAGCTGCAGTCATCTCGTAACAATTGAGTTGTTATTTGGCTCTTATTGTTAGTATTGTTAGTCTATTGGTAGTGAAACATCCAAATATGAAAATGTGGCAGATTATATTCTGTGTGTTTCTTTTTTTAATTTCAAGTTTACTGGGATCTATCGAATAGACATATGAATGGAAGTAAATATTGTTCATTGATAAAACGCCGTCGATATATCTGAAAATCATTTTCAACTATTTTAATAACACTTGAAATGAATTTCCAGCGGGATTGTAGACTGTAGTTGAAAGAAGTAGAAGAGCAATAATAGTTTAAAGTCAACACTGTAAAGTTTTTTTTCTACCAATCACAACACAATGCAATAAAATGAAATGATTTGTACATTCAAAGCAATAATTTTAGTCACAGAAACCAGTCACACGGGCCCAAAGATCCAAAATGGTGAAATACAACATATTTTTAGATCGTTTTCTGACTGACATGTTTTATTCCAATTCATTGCTGTTATACTATTTTTGACTAAAGGCTTATCCATCTACCTGATCAATACAGCAGAGGGCTCACGATGCGTGTGACTGGTCGTAATGAGATCTTTACTCCTCCTAGGCCACTGATCCTACTTCAAATGTTCCAAGGGGTTCGTTTTTTTGTCCTGTTTACGATTTGTACTGTTTACAAGATTGATGAAATTGAAAAAATGATCTTTTTCATTTGAATTTCCTAGAAATATTCCCCAACTGTTGCACCCATGCTTTTGAGTCATAAACAAACTCTGCAGTGTTTAGACATTGACCATCCAAGTCTTAATGCTCTTCTTCTTTTAGCATAGTCCTGCTGAACACGAACTACGAACAATCATTCTGAGAGAATTCAAAGATTGATTGATTGTATGTTGTTTTACGTCCCATTCGATAATTTTTCACTCATATAGATACGTCACCATATACCGGTGAAGAGCTTCAAATTTTGACCTTTACTCAGCACTCAGGGCCATTGAGCAGTGAGGGATCTCTATCGTGCCAACGCCGCCGTGACACGGGGCCTCGGTTTTTTCATTTCTCATCCGAAGGACCCGCAACTTTCATTTCAAAGTGCCGAGAGCATGGAGAACGAACAGTTGCTACACATTTTTTATCGACTTAGGTCAGTTGCGGTCGAGATTCGAACTCACGACCTCCAGACCATGGAGCGAGCACTCTACCGACTGAGCTACCGTGAACGGTAGAATTCAAAGAACTACAAAGTATAGTTTTGCCGCCTGCCTTTAGGCCAACTTTAAAAACATATTTGAATGATTTTTTCATATATATATATTTTTTTATTTTCTTAGAATAAAAAACAAAGAGATAACTCTATAATTTTTTGTAAAAGACGTATTTTTTCACTATAGAAATCAATGGAAAACAGAAAATGTTTTTTACCCCCACCCCGTGAAAAATTGTACTTCGTCAATCTTACCCGTTATATGCTTAAATTCATATAAGATATGGTACTATTTTCTAATGGTAGTAATTAAAGTTAGGGGAATTAAAATTGAAAAAAGAAGTGTCGGATAGGAATGTCATCGCGCGGAGTGTTTGTATATGTTTTGCTGATTTCTTTTACAGATAATATTTAGAGTTTGGTTTAAATACGAGGGCGATAACATCGTGAATTTAGACAACATCAAAGTCACAGAGGGATTATGTAATGGTATGTTTTTTTTTGTTTTTTGTTTTTGTTTTTGTTTTAATTATGTCAGAACAATCCATTTTGACTTTTATAAAGTGCCTTTTATTCAAATGAGGTAAAGACATGATCTTTTAGTAGATTTATTATATATATTTCAATTAATATAATGTAAGGTTTCTTTGAGGCGTACTATATATCTGATATTAATTATCATCAAGTCAAACTGATTTTGATGTGTTTTAGCTTCAAAGATTAACTTGGTTTGATTTCGAAAGACTTAAGACATTAAGATCATGTATTTTAACATCGTTTTATATGCTTCATTTTTAGTTAGTTGTCCTCTGGACTCATTTCGTTGTACCAGTGGAGAGTGCATTTCACCTACCCTTGTTTGTGATGCTCAGCAAGACTGTGAAGATATGTCGGATGAAAAAACATGTAAAACCTTTAAAAAAAATTAAATTCACAAAGTGTATGGCATGATTTCATTATATAATAGCTGCAGATCTGTAGCTCGCTGGTATGAAAAAATTGGGATGAACGACCAGAGAGCTATAGTGCCACCCATTGAAATAAAAAGTGTATATTTATTGCGCACAAAAGAGTGCTCTGTTTCTCAATTTATTTCTCCGTTTATTTATGCTGCCATCCCAATCGTTTACTAACCATGTGTTTCTACTATTTCCACAACAAAATATTTCCCGAAACCGTTGATTATAGCTCTCCTGGACCTGAAATTGAGACCATCGAAAAATTTCCCTATTTATACTGTTTTTTGGGTAGCAAGACAAGTCGGTCCAAAGCGCTTCGTGCATGACTTGTAGATGCAGTTTCGTTGTGGAAGTAGTAATAAAATATGTTAGGAACACACGGTAAGTAATATTTTGAAATATATGGTGAAATAAACAAAAACCCCTCACTCGTTTCTGCGCAATTAATATACACTTTTTTAATTGGAGACACTGTAGCTCTCTGGGCGTCCATTCCAATTTTTTTCACACCAGCGAGCTACAGATCTGCAGCTAGTTATAAAATTAATACAAGTTAACTGACTGTAAGCATCATAGTACTGAGTCTTTTTTATAGAAAAAAATATTGTGCTTTGTCTTTCTCAGGTAGTTAAATTCCTCAAGGCCAATAATTATGCGCTGGAAATTGTCAATAGGCCATTTTCTAATTTCTTCCTTTGCTGGAACTGAATACTTGAAAATATGCATGATTAACTTTAAGGACAAAGCTTGTTTGGAATACACCAAAATATTTTCATGATTTCTGATCTATTTGAATCATATTCGGTCTAAAAATAGAGATAAAAAATCATATATTTAGATTTTTTAAAATTACATAATGTTTGAGGCATATTCATAATATTCTACCCTTGCTTTTGCATAAATGCTTTTTGTACAATAAATGTCATGTATGACTTTTGTTCGGATTTTTTTTTTCAAGAGTCATGGTGAAGCTCACAAAAACTAGTACACTTGTCTCGATTCTGTATTTTACACAGCAGTATGTAGTGTATACGATAAAAATTGAAAATGGCCTATTTCAGTAAATCAAAGGAATCTATAGCAACCTGAATGTTTGCAAATATTTGTAGGTGATTACATAGCAGTCAGCAACCATTCAAGCGTAAATTCCTCGCAACAAGCAGACTTAGATATCTCATCTCGTTGCCCTTTTTGTCCTCGTGAAAACAAGACATCTTGTGTGGCTTTCTGTCCTTCAACTTGTGACTGTGATGGAGATACTTACCTTTGTCAAAGATCTGCGTCTTCCGCCTACACCTTTTTCGCTCAGCTCTCTGAAGTGGATTGTGATTTTCTCAACATTACGGAGTTAGGACAGGGGATATATCATCTTGATATTTCTTCATCCCACATTCGTTCTCTGAACATCACTGATTATGTCAAAGTGGAAAAACTCACGGTTACCGAATCCACCATAGAGACGATCCATATACCTGACCAAGTAGTAAATTACGTACAATTTACGAATTTGAAAACAAATTCAATATCTTTTTTCACTTATTTTATGTACCTTCATGTGGTTGGGAGCCTTCAACAGTTCAGTGCTTCAGCTTTGCTTCATCTGCCCTATGTGAACCTTGAACGAAACATCTTGTCCAATGCTACTGTGATATACAAAATTTGGTCCAAGTATGCATCATCCATGAATACCTCGCACAACAAAGCAGTCCTTAATAATTGTAACATATACCAAACCAATACTGTGAAGGGCGTGGAAAGTAATTATTTAGATCTGAGTAATAATAAACTTAAGACATCTTATGTGTTTAGGGGAACAGAAATATTACTTATTAGAAACAACCTGTTGGAGAGCGTGGTCAAATCTCTTGATAAGACTTATATTAAGACTCTGAAGACTCTTGATATGTCATTCAACAGAATCACGCATCTGCACCTGGAGGACTTCACTTATTTTTTTAATCTCATGTATTTAGATCTACAGTCTAACAACATATCATGGATCGATGACGAAACGTTTGAGGAACTGAGCAACTTGTGTTTTCTAGATTTATCTAGTAATTTATTGCAAAGTATCAAAAGGTCTTTCTTTCAAAACCTAGAAAAGCTACAATACCTTTATTTACAGAGAAACCTAATCAGTACAATAGAGGTCGAATCATTTTATTCCTTAAAAAGTCTTGTAATATTAGATTTGTCTAACAATAAGATAACCTCTTTAAAAGGAAAATATTTTCGAAATTTGGAAGAATTGAGATATCTCTATCTTCAGAATAACAAGTTTCAGGTGTCGGAGGGAATGTTTGATGGCTTGTCGAGCCTGAGATTAATGCAGGTAGATTTTTTCTCTCTTTGCTGTGCAAAGCCAAGAAATATATACGATATAAAGTGCATAGCTCCTGAAAATGAGATTTCTTCTTGCACTAATTTAATAGCTGTACCCATTCTAAATGTCGGTATTTGGTACATTGCACTCTTTGCTGCTTTTGGAAATTTTGCGGTGTTTTGGTACAAGATAATCTATCTCAAGAGACAATCAGCCAGGGCCCACTTCATTTTCACAATTAATTTAAACTGGGCAGACTTTGTTATGGGCATATATCTTTTCATTATTGCTATCGCTAATTTAGTATACAATGGGCGATATGGATTAGAGGACTACACTTGGAGAAACAGCTATTTTTGTACCATCGCTGGAATACTTGCTACGCTTTCTAGTGAAACATCAGCATTTCTTGTGTTTTTAATTACAATGGATCGACTTATAGCTATAAAATTTCCATTTTCTGGAAGGGGGTTTACAAGAAGTGGAGCGATTTTCCTGTCTGTTCTTTCCTGGCTTGTATCTCTTTTTCTTGGTCTTTTGCCTATAATTCCTATGCAGACTACATTCTTTGACAGTTACTATGCAAGGTCTGGAATTTGCATATCCTTACCTCTATCCGTTGTCAAAAAATCGGGATGGCAGTACTCCATGGCGGTATTCATTGGTTTGAACTTCCTTCTTTTCACGGGAATTTTAATCGGACAAATTGCGATTTTCGTAGAGGTTATAAAAGTTGGAAGTAGTGTTACTTCTTCAAGGTCGAAGCAAAGGGAAATAAGTCTGACGAAAAGCCTGGCTGCTATAGTCCTTACAGATATGTTCTGCTGGATCCCGATCGGAACAATAGGTGTGTAAACTTGGTGAATGCAGCATGATGCACTTTTTAGTTTGTATATATAATATCTGAATAAATTGAATATAAATATAAATGTTCCTGATTCAATTCTGGAAATTTCTTTCTTCATATATTATATGCTTTTTAAAATACCTTTATCATAATACTAAGTTTGTATTGATATATATACAAGTAATGTATTAATCAAACTTTAGAAGTAATAAAAACATATTTGTCGAACAGGCCTACTGACCTTCTTCGAAATCGATGTGTCTAGTGAAGTTTATGACTGGATCATTGTCATAGTGCTCCCTATTAATTCCGCCCTTAATCCAATCATCTACAACTTTACTGCCTTTATGAGGCACAAGGTAAGCAAAAATGATTTCGAGAAGAAAGTAAAAACAAGACGGAAAGAAGATCTCCGTATATGATATTGTATATATCTCATGTTCTGCTCTTGAAATGATAACAATAAAAAACCTTTTTTACACAGAGAAGATTTGAGGCATCTGAATCAAATGTCTTGAAACAAGAATGCGCATTACTTAAAAAGAAGTTAGAGGCTATGCAGGTATTTCCATTGAGTTAAAACACCTTTGTATGACTTCCGATGTATAAACTTTTTGAATGGTTAAAATAATTAATCCATATCCATGTTATAAAACACCATTTGGTGAGAGAGAGAGAGATTGATTGATTGATTGTATATTGTTTTACGTCCCATTCGAGAATTTTTCACTCATATAGTGACGTCACCATATACCGGTGAAGGGCTTCAAATTTTGACCTTTACTCGGCACTCAAGGCCAGTGAGCAGTGAGGGATCTTTATCGTGCCAACGCCTGCCGTGACACGGGGCCTCGGTTTTTAAGGTCTCATCCGAAGGACCCGCAACTTTCACTTCAAAGTGCCGAGCGCATGGCGAAGGAACAGTTGCTACCTATTTTTTATCGACTTAGGTCTGTCGCGGCCGAGATTCGAACTCACGACCTCCCGATCACGGAGCAGAGAGAGAGAGAGAGAATTAATCAGTTCATGCTTTATATTGAATAATAATTATCAATTTAACAAAATTATGAAATGTTTTTGATTATTACTTTTCAGTCGTTAAACTCGAACTGTACTTGTCAGAAAAGGAGTACGGCGAGACAACCATCTATAAACATTGATGTTTTTCCAACCGATTCGACGTTTGAAAGAGAGACTCAGCAATATGGCTTAGGGGTAACCGTCGTAAGAATGGACACAAAATTTTGACGTCAAGGCTGAACTAGTCATATATACAAACAAATGAAATCCTTCATTAACTATTTTATGCGAACCAAGATGACAAAAGTGAATCAATTGTAATCATATTATTTATTATGTGAATTGTTAATGTTCTGTAATGAAGCAATATTTAATTATTCTTGTTAAAATAATGCCACTGACAAGAGTTATCCGTATATTATATTGATACTATGTATCACATGCACATAAAAATTGATAATGATGCTTTTAGCATGTTGTCTGTTGTCGCTGTGAATATGTGCATTTTATATGTTTTTTTTTTTTAAATTTAATTTTATTTGTTTACGATGCCATATAGTTCTAAGCACAAAATAAGAACAGAGTTTTTTAACATCTTTTCATGTTTTTTTCAAGTGGAAAAAGTACTTAAATCTATATAACATCATTAAAAAGGACAACCAGAGAGTGCACAATTACACAAAACAGTGAATAAAAACTTCTTGAATTAGACCATATCTTAGACGTCATATCAGATGATATTTCTTTTTGAATTCATTCTATGCATGTTTGACACATAACTTATAATAAATAAATAAATACATAAATTGATTGATTAATTTATTGATTGATTGATCAATTAATTGATTGATTAATTAAAAATAAATTAATACGATTTGGTTCATATCAGTCCTTATTGACGTAAACGTTAACCATTTATTCCGAATAATGTTATTCAGTTGAATTTTGGAAACGGTCGATTGAATTGATTTAAAACATATGGTTCTACGCCATTCCTAGCAAATAAATCTGTGTTTATGGTCATACATCAAAATTGTTCACGTATTTTCTTACATGAATTTTTGACATGAATTGATGCGAAATGTAATACAAAACAAAATATCTTTAAGTAAGCTCAGATTTTTAGCTTTATCTTTGTCATTTCATTTTAATTTGCCATTATCGACTTTATGATGTTGTTTGTTAGAAAATATAGTGAAATTTAGTTTCATATTTACGTTATATTTTAATTGTTCACGATTTGTTGAGAATGTATGTCTTTGTTATATTTTTATTTGTATAAGAGGCTTAGATTTGTTAATATATCAGACAAAGACTTATTATATTAACCATATTGGTTGTTATATAAATATTTTTATAATTACATTATTAGCATGATTTCTTGATATTCAATTGTTATTCTTATTAAAATATTTTGTATGACTTACAACTCTTCATTTGATTCCTTTCTTCATCCATTATTAAGAGTCCCCTATTTTGTTTGGAAAATGAGTCGATTCCAGAATATATTTCCTTTTTTAGAGCAACATTAAATCAAATTGAAATGAAAATTAAACATTAAAAAAATGCTTTATAAAAAAGAAATACTATCAGCAGATATATAAACTTCGTGTAATATATAGAGCAATGTGTATATATATGAAAATGCATCATGTATTTCTAACAGTCCATATTATTTATTGAAGCATTAAAGATATGGAGAGTAATTTTAAATTTCGAAACAAATAAGTTATGTATGTCATTGCAATACAGGTATTTAATCAGACGTACATTAATGCAAACATATTCACCTAAGATTAAAAGAAATTATATCTAGATTAAAGAATAAATACAAGGTCTACATTTGCAATTTTCACGTACTCATAGATAATTCCTTACATCCCATAGATTCAGTCTTAATTCCATTAATGTCCATATTATTGGTAAACTCTCGTAAATTGACGTCTGGTACTGGAATGTCGTCTGCAACTGGTCGTCCATTGATCTTGATTTATACGAACTTTTAATGGTCAGATGTAAATCAATGGTCCATGCTTACTTACTGTCAGTATGTGACCTATATATTTAACACAAAAGCTATATGCTTAGTGCGAAAGGACCTATCAAAAATATTTTTGAATTCGATATAATGAATGTCAACTTTGTTAATAAAATTATGATTTGGTATAGGAATTTTTGAATATGTGATGACAAATATACAAAAAAGCTATGGAAGTCCATTTAGAACCAATAAAAAATATTTTTGAAATCAATTTAACGAATTGTCGAGATTGTTAAGCAAATTTAATTCGTATGATTTTTTTTTTTGAATTCGTTATAACAAATTCAAAAAATTGCTATAATCAGATGAGATTCCTTTAAAGGAATTCCAAATTATATAATAACAAACTAAATAAATGTAAAGGAATTCTTTAATTGTTGTAACGAATGAAATTCGTTTAAACAAATTCATAGACATTTTTCTCTAGGCCCTAAATGTCAAATTCGATTTATTGAATTTAATTCATTATAACAAATTCGTTTAAATTTAATTCGTTATGACAAATTAGGGAAATTTTTTAAACGAAATAAATCTGTTATAACAATTTTTTGAATTTTTTATTAGAAATTCAACAAATATGTAAAAACAAATATAAATCATTTCAACGAATTAAGAAATGTTTTAATGATTTAAATTTGTTCAAACAATTCAAAAATTCATCATCTCGAATTCAAAATTATTTTTGATAGGTCCTAAATGGCTTTTTGTGTAATAAAAATAATCTGCAATCTGTTATCATCAAAAAATATTTTTCAATTCAATAAAACGAATTGTCAAATTGTTAGAAATGGAATTTAATTTGTTATGACAATTTTTTGAATTTGATATAACGAACTTTATCTTTTATAACAATTTTGTTGAATTATTATCATGACGAATTCTTTAATTCATTATAACGAATTGTATTCGTGAAAACGAATTCTTAAAGTAAAATTAGATTTTGCTTCATAATAAGTTGACGGAAGAAAAGTTGAAGTCATAACGTTATTCATGAAGTTTAGTCGTTAGTTTGCCATTAATGTCTTTTTTAGCAAAATATCCAAATATCAAAAAGATGAATCAGACTCTGTGGTTGTATACTTTTAAATTTTCACGATGGTTTAAAAGTTTATATTAATGGGGACTTCGAAGGGACAGGTTCAGTGGAAATTAGTATATGTGGCTAGTTTATATCAACAATACAAATTCTCTTTTACTGTGAAACAATATATTCGAGAATTGGTGTTAATCAGATCTCGATACTAAAAAATTCCAAGGAACTTTAATTGGAAAATTTGAAATCGCAAAATTTTTTCCAAAATCAATAACATAAAAACTTATGACTTCTCTACTCTATATACAACCATTCCCCACGATAAATTGAAGTCCAGGCTTTTTGACATCATTGATAGCTGCTTTTTGAATAAAAATGGAACTCGCAAATTTACTTTCCTTATAATTGGTCATTTGCAAAATTATTTTGTTAAAAAGCTTTCTGATTGTACACACAAGTACTCTAAAGTTGATATTAAAAAGATGCTTGAGTTTTTGATTGACAATATCTAAGTGCTTTTTGGAGACAACAATCTGTTGGAATTTCCATGGGTACCAATTGCGCCCGTTATTTATTAGTAGACTTATTTTTGAATTAATATGAAGCAGAATTTATTCAAAATCTTATACATGTGAAGGAGAAAACACTCGCTTCGGCCTTCAACTCGACATTTAGATAAATCGACGACATAATATCAATTAACAATAATTATTTCCATTCGTATGTCGGCATGATATATCCCTGCAGTGAGCTTGAGATTAAAGATACCACAAAGTCTGACACATCTGTTTCATATTTGGATATTTTACTAGAAAAAGACGTTAATGGTAACCAAACAACAAAGCTTTATGATAAACATGATGACTTTAATTTTTCAATCGTCAACTTCTCTTACTTATGCAGCAATATACCCTTATCACCTGCATACGGGGTTTATATCTCTCAATTGATTCAATACGCAAGCACATACTCTACGTATGAACAATTTCTAAAACGAGGTAGATTATTGACAAACAAGTTGGTGAAAAAAAAAAATCATCAGTCTCTTTTTAAGTCGTCAATTCTTAAGTTCTAAGGTCTATGACAATGATCTTGTCAGCAAATACAATCTATCATTAAGTCAAATGCTGACTGACTTTTCACACTAAGTTAGGCCATTATTTACACACTGAATTGTTCACGGATTTTTCCGTTATTTTCCAATCATGACAAGGATCACACGGCGGGTGTGACCGGTCGGCAGGGGATGCTTACTCCTCAATGGCACCTGATCCCACCTCTGATGTTTAAGAGGTCGTGTTTGCTTTGCTCCTGATTTGTATTGTTTGAATGGACGTTTGAGCTTGAATACTGTTCGTTATCTCCATATATTTCATTAAATTTGCATCTCAATGATGGTTGTTGATTATATAAATTCTTTTACTTAGAAGGCAAAATAATTTTTCAATTCTATTTCTAGTTTTAAGGTTAACGCAAGACGAAAAAAAAAACGGCGGAGCAAATAGTCGGGTTAGAGGTGTTCGCTGATGTTCCATGTAATGCAAAATATTTTTGATATCTAAGTCATTATATTTTCTATAAGGCTTAAGCTTCTCGGACGTTTTCTTACGATTTACTTGAAGTATTATTAGACACAGATGTACAATAGGCATGACTCAAAATACACCCTTGATTATTGCATTCATAAAGCCAGTACATGTATGGTATATAAATAATGATTCATCCTTAATTCATATGGAGATCAACCCGTACCCTTATAGTGAAACTGCAAGTTCATCATAAATCACCAAAAGTCGATAGCTAGTGTGCAGCTTCAAACATTATCCTTCCTGTTTAAGTGGTTAGTTATTACATTTCGAGTTTTTAAGTGTCGCATTTATTACCAGGTCTTGTTTTCTTGGTAATAAAGTTTTTCTAGTTTAGTTCATTTTTGTCAGGAAAGAATTCCAATTTAATTGATATATCAATAAAATGTTCTACAGAAGCCTGTTGTAGCTCGTCCATGCTCTTAGTACGAAGAATTTCTGAAACGAGATAAGCTATTGACAAATGATTAGATGAAACAATGACATCAAAAGTCTCATCTGAAGTCAACATTTCGGAAGTTCTATGGTCGATACAATGACTTCCTTAGCAAATACTCAGCACAATTTA